CACAGAGACACAGAGACACATGAGACACAGAGACACAGAGACACAGAGACACAGAGACACAGAGACACAGGCAGAGAGATAGAGGGCACACACACACACACACACACACACAAACACACAACAGAGCACAGCAACAGGGGCGCGCGCAAGGGGAGAGGGCTCTGATGTAAGATCCTCAACCCTTGATGGATGATGCATGACACCGCCAGGATCAGCCAGTGCCATCCTCTTTTGACTGATCCCTTGACCGCATGACCGCATGACCGCACGACCGCATGACCGCATGACCTCCACCAGCGCAGGAGTCGGTCAGAGAACCGTAGTGCTGTCGCTCAGCGCCTCTGTCCCTGGTTTCTCAGTCATGGGGCCATTCGATGGTTGACGCCATAGATGACTGATACCTGGCGGTGTAGCTCTGCTCTGCTCTCCCTCCATGTTCCAACAGCCAACCATCGCAGCATCCAAAGACGGGAGGCGGCTCATCGAGTCAGCCTTGGTCCCCCGCGACACCGGACGCCCTTTGCGCGCCCACACTGCCGCGCTGCCCTTGACCCCGTAAGAACTCTTCTTTTTAAATGAACCCCTCTTTTATTAATTAAACTCTCTGTCGAAAGCGCTTTGGGTTAATAATACGCGTAAGAAAAGTGTATCCGATGTCAGACATTGATACACCTGAAGTGTATCAAATGTTTTACTTGTTTTCGTGTTGTGGCGACAGAAAATTTTGGCGCCGAAAATTCAAATTCACACACACACACACACACACACACACACACACACACGCGCGCTCTCTCTTTCTCTCTCTCTCTCTTTTTTGGACCACACACGCACGCTCTCAGGATCCAGAGGGATTGCCTGCCCGCTCTATCCTTCTTGGTCGGTGCAAACGCTGACAAAGATCGCCCGGGTATCTCACTTCTTCATTGACCGTACCCGACCACATCGTGAGAAGAGACCTCCCGACTCGTCTGCGTTGGAGCGTTCCGTTGGTTGCGCTCATGTGTGCTGCATGCCTGGGACAGACCCTTCACCATGCCGCGCTACGCCGATGAGGAGGCGCCTCGGCACTCAAATCGGGCACCATACCGCTCTCCGGCCCGCTCCCCGGCCCGGCATCATGAGGCTGAAGAGATCAATCAAAGTTTGTGTCTTTTCGTGCCCGTCGTACAAGACCTCTGCCTCCGCCGTTGCCCTCACCGCGCTTCTTCACCAACAGGCACCGTGACGCGCACCAATGAGGGTCGGCAAGCGGCTTTTGAAACGCGCATGGCCATGCAACGAGAACTTGATGCCGCTCGCTCACAGGTAGACGTGGGCTGACAGACTCTTACGAAACGCTCCTGCCCTACGCACCGAGCTGACGCTCACGCATGCATTGCACCCATTGAAAAAAAAAATACATGATACACAGCTGCGAAGCATGGAACGCGAGATGGATGATTTGCAGCGCCAAGCAGTTGGGGCGCGCGATGAGGCCGCTGTGGCTCGCTCAGAAAACGGACGCCTGCAGGATGAGCTCCGCTCCTGCCGTGAGCGTCTCAATGCCGCCCTTGATTCCCAGCAAGAGCTGCTAGGCAAGAACGCTCAAAAGCATGAGCTTCTTATTGACCTCCAAGCCCAGGTCGCGGGCCTGCGTGACGAGATTGTGGACAAGGATGCGCGCGCTCGAGTATTGGAAGACACGGTGGCCCGCCTCGAGCAGGAGCTGCGTACTGCTCGCCACCAGGCCAGCGCTGATAACAGCGCTCGCGATGCTTATGCCAACCTGTCTCAAGAACACGATGTCACTCGCTCCGAACTCCGCTCCATCCGCAGTGACCACGCCTCCCGGTGCGTCCCCACCCCGCGCATTGACCAGAACCACCCGCTACGTGTGGCCCTTGCCCTTGGTCCGCTCACGTGGTGTCCCACCCATGCACAGTGAAGCACATTTGCGCACGTTGGAAGCCGATCGCGCTGCTCTGCGGGCTGATGTGAGCGCAATGCATGAACGCATCATCATGATGGAGCGAGAGCTGGATCTGGCCAAATCGCAGGCCGAATCGGCCAATGGCGCAGAAGCTGCCTTTCGCGACCACCTTGCCAGTAAAGACGACCTCATTGCCGAGGTGCGTGCTGGCCATTCAACCTCTGGCTGCGCTGGCTTCTTGTTTGCTCTGCCTCCCACCTTTCGCGACCAGAGCAGAAACCCTCACCTTTGAGTCAAACCTTGCCTGTCCGCTCGCTGGGTTGCAGTTGCATCGCCAAAAAGTGGAGATTGAAGCCGAATTTGCACAATTTCGCAGCATGGCAGATGGCCAGACCCGCTCGCTGGAGGTATGCCACCTTTCTCACGCCAAACTGAAACACACATACTCTCTCTCTCGTTGCTCAGCGAGCGCCACGCAACACTCGTGTCCTTTTGCCATCTTACCCATATGCCACACATAGAACCAATTGGACGGTGCCCGCGCCAAGGAACAGATGCTCGAGGACAACTTGCGCACGCTGCACCGAACACTGGGTCGTCAAGCCGCGGCCGCCATGCCTAACCCACAGTACCCACTCCCTGTGACCAATGTATCAACCCGCTACGTGCCTGTGCGGGAGGTGCCTCGGGCCCCGATCCGCGAATCCGTCATTTATCGCACCCATCGATACGAAGTGCACGAACCGGCCCGGCCTGACCCCACCGGTGGCGTCCGCGAAGTATCCCGCCGCGTCCGCCGCTACATGGATCTGGTTGAGGAAAAGGACGAGGCGGAACGGTTGGCAGATATTGCTCGTGAACGCCTTCGCCGTTCTCTGCGTGAGGATCAATAGTTTGACGGCCAAGCCGGCATGCCATGTGGAGATCTTGCGTTCTCTCTCCCTCTGTCTCTCTGTCTCTCGCTCTTTTGTAACTTTTTCTCCTGGTGGCGTTGCATTGCCTCTGCCGTTTCTCGAGGACGGCGTGAAGGCACGAACCTACACAAAGCTTTGCTTTTGTGCCAAAGAGTGGGAACGACCAGTCGGGTTTTAAACTGTTGCCAATGCCTGGTAGTGTTCTAGCCGATGCGCCATTTGCATCGTCCTCCTCTTTGTCTGTATTCTTATATTGCCTGTTGATGCTGTCAAGCACCTTTTGCTCCTCTACATCTTTTTCGTCCCCCAGCCTCGGCTTCCTCCTGAAGCTTCTCCGGCCCCTTGGCCCCTCCTTTTTGCGTTCTTTTAATTGGACTTGTGTTGACTGTGTGAGCATCGGAACATGGCATTCGGCCGGGGAAACTTCGCGCGCACACACACACATTCAAACCCTATGGGACGTAAAAGTGCTGACATTTTATTTAGATTTGACTCACACTCTCCGTAATTTTAATTTTGAAAGAAACAAAATGTCGAACAACAGGTGGTGAGAACAGGTGTATTAACACGCGGGTTTGAACCTCACTCGACACTTTTTTTTGGCCCTCGCCCTTTGACGGTACGATCCATGCGCCCGGCGCTCGGCGATTCGCCGATGGGCCGTGAACACAAGCACGCTGGCAGCGCGCGCAGTGGGCGCCCCCAAACGGCGGTAGTGTTGTTGTATGGGGCTGATAGATGAGAGACAGTTTGAGGAAGGCCTCTGTGGTGCCTGCCCTGCCCTGAGCCAAGCAGACCTCGAGTGTGCCGGCGCGCCCTTGCAACGTGCAGTCGGGCTCAGCTGAGCCGGTTGACCTACCATGCGAGTCTGCTGGGCTCAGGGCTGGGAAGCGTGCTACGATCCCCACCACCTTGCACTCTCGCCGTCTAGCCTGGATAGTGGAGGGAGGAAACACGGCATTAATCACTCGACCTGAACGCCAAAGAGGCGTGCACGCGAGCCACATCAGCCCAAGAACCCATCGTTGTGGTGGACCTTTTGACCTTTTGCAGCAGCCTCGACATTGACCTCTCACGCTTTTGGTGTTCCTTTCGCTTTGCTGCAACTTTGTTTCTGTAGACCTATCGCCATGGATGCCCCGCCGAAGCTCGCTAAGGTTTGTTGTCCTCGCAGCCGCATGGAACAAACGAGGCTGAATGTGTGGAAGGAGCAGGGTGGTCGTCTTGATGTGTGCTCACGTTGCTTTTGGGCTCTACCCTTGGGCATTTGGTAGGTCACCAAGGTCCTGGGCCGCACTGGCTCTCAGGGCCAGGCCATCCAGGTCCGCGTCGAGTTCATTGACGACACGCAGCGCTCCATCCTGCGTAACGTCAAGGTGCGTTTATAAGATTTGGACCCACCCACCATCCTGGCCATTGCAACGTTGGCTTTCAGAAGATCGAGCAAGCAAAGCGAAAGCAATTGTAGCTCTTCTTTCCTGATGCTCATGACTTGGGACGACTTTTTCCATCAACCCGTTTGTCTTTAGGGCCCCGTCCGTGTTGGCGATATCCTCGTCCTCATGGAGTCGGAGCGTGAGGCTCGCCGCATGCGGTAAACGCATCAAGGATGATGCGTTTTGATGCCTGGTTGATGCGTTTCCCGCATTCTCGTCAACCGTGGGCTGTATGATTGGGCGTCTGCGCCAGTCTCCTGCTATGCAGATGGCTTTGGTCGTGGTCGTTGTCTCTTGTACGGCCTGCTGGGCGTCAAATCTTCCTTGAAAAAAGACTTGGAGGCAGGGGGTTGGCTTTTTGTCGTTAAACCCTCTATTTGAAGACGATGGCATCAGCCGCCTGCTTCAACCTACTTGCCTGGCCAGTTTCTAGCGAATGCCGTGGGGGAGTTGGTTTCTTTCCTTTTCCTTCCTGGTGGGCGAGGAATTGATCCTCACTGAAATCAGCTCTTTCTTCTCATTTCTCACCATTTTCCAAATTTTTTGCCTACACAAAGCTTTGGGCAGGTGCTCGAGATTTCCCTCTTTGCCGTCGATGTGATATGATGTTTATGCGGCTCAGAGGTCTCGGAGCGCGTTTGTGGGGATTGAGGTGGTCAAATGGCCGAGGCATGTCATGGTTCATTTTCAAGGGATTGGCTTGAAGGTACGGGTGAGCACGCACATCCATCAGGGCCCTGCGTTCATAGCGTTGCCCACGCCAAGAGCGCGAACAAGCAACCATGGAAGGCCAGGATGCACACAAAAAAGTCCAGATCAAGCAGACCGGGGACGATGGGCACACAGAAAGAAGAACAATAGGCGCTGGCCAACAACTATGGAGCAAACTAAAGCTGTTGGGATGTCAGGACACAAGGCCGAGATCAGGCCTTTATCGAAAAGGCATGACCTTGACACTTTTACATGTTAAAACAGATGCCATTCTATGAGCACGCAGCAAAAGGCGTCACCTCCGAGAGTTGAGAGCCCAGGGCGGAAATGCACGTGCTTTGGGCACATCACTAGGAGCATGCCGACAGATCCCACTTCAAAACAAGACGAATGAAAGAGAAGGAGATCAAAAAAACGGATATATTTTTTTGGCGAGTGATGGCTTTCGACTACGAGCTCATAAAAAAAGCAAAAAAAAAGAGAAAGGTTGTAGTAGTGTGGAAGAAAGAAGAGCAAGACGGGATGGTGGAAGAACACAGAGGGCCAACAACAACTTGAGAAAGAGAGGGACAAGAGGGGAAGGCAAGTCGTTTATCGGGCAGCGTTCTTCAACTGCGTCGAGAGCCAGTCGAGACCCTCGTAGAGACCCTCGCCGTTGGTAGCGCAGGTGGCCTGGATGTACCAGTTGCGGTTGCGCAGGTTGTGCAGACCGAGCTTCTCGGTAATCTCAGCAGCACCCATGGCGTTGGGCAGATCCTGCTTGTTGGCAAAGACGAGCAGAACGGCGTCGCGCAGCTCATCCTCAGCCAGCATGCGGGCCAGCTCCTCGCGAGCCTCGCCGACACGCTCGCGATCGTTCGAGTCGACAACAAAGATGAGGCCTATGCATAAAAAAGTTGAGCGGAGAAACGCCTACGTGGAAGTGGTTGATGTCTGGATGTCTGGCAGAAACGTCTGGCTCATCAACGACCGAGTCTGTGGAGAGAGCTCACTCCCCGCAGACAAGTACCAAAGACTTACCCTGAGTGTTCTGGAAGTAGTGGCGCCACAGAGGGCGGATCTTGTCCTGACCTCCGACATCCCACACGGTGAAGCTAATGTTCTTGTACTCGACGGTCTCAACGTTGAAACCTGGTTTTTGTTTGTTTGGAGATCCAATGAGAAAACACGATATGGCATGTCTCTTTCCAGGCGTGGAACGAACAAGCTCAGCACAAAACCTACCAATGGTGGGGATGGTGGTCACAATCTCGCCAAGCTTGAGCTTGTAGAGGATGGTTGTCTTACCAGCGGCATCGAGACCGACCTAAAAAGATTGTTAACAATCCAAAGGAGTCAGAAAAAGCCCAGATTTGATCCAAGAAAAGAAAGAAAGGAAAGGGACATGACTAGCAGCGTCCAGCGTGGCACTCCACCCCGAACCAATTGCGCCAGCAAATTGGAAAAAGGAAAAGAAGGGAAAGAAGGCAAAGGAGACGAGCAAGGCAAACAGCAGCAGCGTTTCATTTCGATGATACGTCACCCAGATGTGCACACAGCGATGCCCACACTGGATTGACCATGTCGGCTGGACGCTTCGGCACTCAACTCCTCAAAACATCAGGCCAGAGCGGGGCCAAGCACTGCCAAGAATGCCAACTCACCATGAGGATGCGCATCTCCTTCTTGCCAAAGAGGCCGGCAAAGGCCTTGGCGAACATAGAACCCATGTTGCTATTGTTAAAAAAAAGAACAGCGTCAGAGAACGAATGGCAACGAGGGTGAGAATAGTGAGAGGCTTGATCCAAAAAGGACGGGGAGAGCGGCGCCGCTTGGAAAAGGGGGGAGCAAATCAAAAGGAAAAGAATGCGATCGCAAGCGCAAAAGAACAAAAGAAAGGCACAGACAAAAGACCTCAAATGTCAAAAGAGGAGATGGAGGATGATCAAGCGTTGAAAGGAGGTGCGGTGCGACACGAAAAGGCGGGCAGGAGGGGGGGGGGGGGG